CTTTGTTGCCCAGGCTAGAGTGAGTGCCATGGCGTCAGCCTAGCTCACAGCAACCTCAAACTCCTGGGCTCGAGTGATCCTTCTGCCTCAGCCTCCCGGGTAGCTGGGACTACAGGCATGCGCCACCATGCCCGGCTAATTTTTTGTATATATATTAGTTGGCCAATTAATTTATTTCTATTTATAGTAGAGACGGGGTCTCGCTCTTGCTCAGGCTGGTTTTGAACTCCTGACCTTGAGCAATCCGCCCGCCTCGGCCTCCCAAGAGCTAGGATTACAGGCGTGAGCCACAGCGCCCGGCCTCTTCCTTAAATTTTGGTAGCTCCTGTCCTCTAAGCAGTGAGGGGTGAGGAAGCACAGAATCATATGTGGGTAAAAGATCCATTCAAAGTGGAAGGCAAGTGGGTTTCAGTGTGATAGAGTATAAAAAAAATTCATAGACATGGTTTCAGATTGAGAAACTACCACTTTTTGCATTTTAGTTTATATCAAAGAAGAATATCCACAATTATCTGAAAAGCTCCTCCTTTTTCCACCTCCATATCTGTGTGGGGCCAAATTTCCCTCCTATACTGCAACCAAAACAACAACATATCACAGCAGACTGAATGCAGTAACAGAAGAATATAGTTGTCTTCTATAGAGCCAGACATTGAACAGATTTGCAAAAGCCAACAACAAAACTGGACAGAATAGCAGCCACTCTTCTCACTGCTTTTATAATTATGCTTATTTTTAATAAAAATGTAATTTTTATGCTAACAAGAAAGGCACTGGTTGTTATTTTTAAACAAATTAATAGATTTTTACGTTCTCAATTAAAATTTCTGATATGATGTATCAGTTTCCTATTGCTGCTGTAACAAATTACCACAAATATAGTGGCTTAAAACAACACATTTATTCTCTTACTGATCTGAAGGTCACAAGTCTGCAATGGATCTCACTGGGCCAAAGTCGAGGTGTCAGCAGGGCTGTTTCTTTCTGGAGGCTGGGGGGGGGGCTCCATTCCTTGCTTTTTCCAGCTTCCCAAGGCTCCCCTATTTCTTGGCTCCTGGCCTCACACCACATTGCATTTTCTCCTCCTGCTTCCATTATCCCATCAGCATCTTCTGACTTTGACCTTCCTGCTTCCTTTGTAAAAGGACCCTGTGATAACATTGGGCCCAGCCCACTAATCCAGGATAACCTCCCCACTCAAGACTCTTAACTTAA